CCATTACCCTTTGGATCTCAGCACCAAAAGCAGTTTCTAATGGATGCAGCTTTCCAGCATGCCGAGCACAGCATGCATCCTGTGAAACGGCAAACAAGAGTTCAAGCAGGACAGGAAGATGAAACCAGGAGAAGGCATCTGATAAACATGCATCAGATATATGCTCAGAGTTGGTAGGTGCTATATGCCACAGAAGCTTTTTTCCTTTGGGGGAGAGGCATGTGATTTAATCTCTTCTGCCTTCTTGCCATCTGGATAGTCAAGCCCAGACAATGCTTGCTGGAGGTGTGATCCAACAAGAAGCAAAGGGGACAAGAGTACCGAAATCCCCCCTGGCTCACCAAGGGCATTTGTGAATGCCTGATTGCCAAAAAGGAGGTGTACACCCAGTGGAAGGGAGGGGCTATCACCAAAGAGGAGTATACCTCCATCACTCAGGTCTGTAGGGGGGCTGTTAGGAAAGCTAAGGCAGATATGGAACTAGGGCTAGCATCAAGGATAACAAAAAGTCCATTTTTAAATACATAGGGAGAATGAAGAAGGCCCCGGGTAATGTGGGGTCCCTGCAGGATATGCTTGGCAATCTGGTGGTTGCACCAGAGGAGGAAGCAGACCTCTTTAACAATTTCTTTGCCTCTATTTTCTTGTGCAGGGACCGGGACTCTCCTACCGAGATTCAGGACGGACTCGGGAGAAACTCCACCAAGCCTAGGGTTGGGTAGGACCGGGTTTGAGCACTTCTGGAGGGGCTGGATGTGTTCAAATCAGCAGGTCCAGATGCTCTCCACCCCAGGGGGTTGAGGGAATTGGCAGGGGTTATCGCGGGGGCCCTGGCACAGCTTTACGAGCACTCCTGGTGCTCTGGCCAGGTGCTGGATGACTGGAAGAGGGCCAGTGTGGTCCCCATCTTTAAAAAAGGGAAGAGGGAGGATCCGGGCAACTATAAGCCCATTAGTCTTACTTCAATCCTGGGGAAGCTCTTTGAGAAGATCATCAAGGAGCACATCTGTGATCGGACAGCAGTGGGGATGATACTCAAGGCCAACCAGCATGGTTTCATTAGGGGCAGGTCCTGTCAGACCAACCCAATTGCCTTCTACGATCAGGTCACAAAATCATTGGACACAGGTGTTGTGGTGGATGTAGTCTTTCAGGACTTCAGGAAGGCCTTTGACACTGTCTCCAACCCCATTCTCATTAAAAAGCTAGGTGACTGTGGCATTGATGCAAATTGGCTGAGGGGTCATACTCAGAGAGTCATGGTCATATTTGACCTGGAGGGAAGTGGGCAGTGGAGTCCCCCAGGGCTCAGTCCTTGGGCCCGCACTGTTTAATTTCTTTATTAGCAACTTGGACGACAGGGTGAAGAGCAGCCTGTTTAAATTCACAGACGACACCAAGATTTGGGGTGAGGTGGGCACGCTAGAAGGGAAGGACAGATTACAGCAGGACCTGGACAGGTTACAGGGCTGGACAAATGAAAATAGGATAGGATTCAATACTGACAAGTGCAAGGTGCTGCACTTGGGCAGTACGAACCAGCAGCATACCTATAGGCTGGGGAACGCCTTTCTCGAGAGAACGGTGGCAGAAAGAGATCTTGGAGTCATTACTGACTCCAAGATGAACATGGGCTGGCAATGCGAGAACACGGTCAGTAGGGCTAACCGCACCTTGTCGTGCATCCACAGAGGCATCATGAGCAGGTCCAAGGAGGTGATCCTCCCTCTCTATGCGACACTGGTCAGGCCGCAGCTGGAGTACTGCATCCAGTTCTGGGCACCCCACTTCAGGAGGGATGTGGACAACATTGAGAGGGTCCAGAGGAGGGCCACTCGCATGATCCAGGGACAGCAGGGCAGGCGCTATGAGGAGACGCTATGGGACCTTAACCTGTTCAGCCTTCGCAAGAGAAGGCTAAGGGGGCACCTGGTGGCCATCTATAAACTTACTAGGGGGGACCAGTGGGGTTTGGGAGAGACCTTGTTCCCCCGAGCGCCTCCCAGAGTAACGAGGAATAACGGCCATAAGTTGCTAGAGAGTAGGTTTAGACTAGACATTAGAAGGCACTACTTCACAGTCAGGGCGGATAGGATCTGGAACCAACTTCCAAGGGAAGTGGTGCTGGCTCCTACCCTGGGGGTCTGTAAGAGGAGGCTCGACGTTTACCTGGCTGGGGTCACTTGAACCCAGTTTTCTCCCCTGCCCAGGGCAGGGGGTTGGACTAGAAGATCCACAAGGTCCCTTCCGACCCTACATCTATGAATCTATGAGAGAGTTCCTGACTACTTCACTTTGCTTCTCTGTGCCTCAGCTTCCCTCTCCCTAATGCACTGGCAATGACAACCCAGCCCTTTGCAAAGTGTTTTGAGACCTGCCGTTTAAACACCGGTTATCTGGCTAATTCTCTGCCAGATGTTCCTTCAGGAGGCAGAGTTAAGTTCACATATGGGTCTCTTTCTTTTCTCACTCACTCTCAAGAGGGCTGGCCCCATTAGTTAGTATGCACTGAAGTCAAAGTAGTCTCCTTACATAAGGAGGTACAGAATGACTGTTGAAACCTGACCAAGCTCAGAGTTTGTTCTGAGGGGTTTCATCCAGTCCTGAGTCACTGTTATTAATATCACTAATAATGGATTGTTTCTGAACGCAACGGATTTTCTCTAGCAGAGACCCTTTTGCAAGCACAAAAATAGAAGGTCAAGATTTGACTTGTGAGCCTCATGGCTCATAATTAACTCCTGAAATGAAAGCTAAAAAGCGGCCCATCTTAGCTGAAAATCTCAAGCCTGTCACCTTCTCACAAAGCAGCAATAGCCATCAGCATGCAGGGAGCTCCCCTTCAGAGCCTCATTGTGTTTAGGGGTTCAGAAGAAAGCAAAGACTGGGAAAGTATCTGGAGAACTCTTCTCTCCCTCACCAATGTGGATGCCTCTTTACGAGGCCCATGATTTGACAGATACCAATTCACTCCAAGTGGAGAAGATTCACTTCATTATTTTTCCCCCTGCTGATGATTTTATAAGGAATGATCTAGGTTATGATAAATTTCACTTCTGCCCTGTGCCCTCCCCCACTTCTAGGATGTCTAGAAATACTGATGAAGGCAATGTAATTCATAAGCATGAGGGTTTGCTTCAACAAGGAAACCTCCTGTGAACTTCAAAAGCCAAACTCAATCCTTCCCCTCATTTCTGAAAGGCACTGAATGAAAATGTGATAACCTCAAAGCCCGCTTTAATATTTAGTGCGTCTCTCCCCTTTCATCTTTTGACTGCCCTTCCTTCTCCGCATCTCATCTCCGAACTATATCACAGAGGCAAATTGAATTCAACCTCTTTGGTCAGGGGGTGATCCACTTTATTCAAGGGTCACGCCTCCAGCAAACATTGTCTGGGCTTGACTATCCAGATGGCAAGAAGGCAGAAGAGATTAAATCATGTGCCTCCACCCCAAAGGAAAAAAGCTTCTGTGGCATATAACACTTACCAACTCTGGGCATATAACACCTGCCAACTCTGGGCATATATTCAACTAGAGGAGTACCAGACCCTGTGTCTTTTGTTACAGCCTGAGGTTAAACATGACTAACAACAAAAATCTGTGTCCTACCTAAGAGAGAGTTTACACTTTTATTATCTTACAGGGCCACAGGTAGGCACAGGGCAGGGCAAATGGTGACTTTCTGGTCTTCCATCTTTATGTGGCTATTTGGAGGATCAAGGTGGAGGGGTCCTTTCTCAGGGAGGACTCTGAGAGAGCAAACAAAAACCAGGCTCAGTTAGCGGATGACTGAACAAAGGACTTCAATCCCCATCCTGCCTCCCATTGAAGTGAACGGACATTTTATTAGTAGGAAGCAGGATTAGACCCTGATACACCGGAAGAGCTTGTAGTCCCCTATTCATTTTGGACTGGCCTGAAAGCTGGAGCATGCTTTGGACCCAGGAGCATACCTGGTCAGCAAGTCTGATGGATCTTCCAAGTCAGTTCTGTTGACCAGGAAATCGGATCCTATTTTAAACTGCAGGCTATTAAAGACCAAACTAATGGAAGTCAACATCTGACATGGGGGCATTTAAGGCTTCGGCTCTAGCGTCTGCTTTGGAGAATAAAGGTGTGTTGCTCACCGTCACTCTTTGGTGCCCCTGTGCGTGCCGGCTACTTCCCGAAATCACTAAGCTGCTCTGCAGATTAGTCAGGACCTGGCTCGACTCATACGTTAATATTCTTCTGAGCTCACAGAAAAAGCGAGTTGGTGGAGCGGAGCAAGATGAGAAAGCTAGCTAACTCCAGGCGAGCAGCAAGCGGAGAAGAGCATGTTACGGTAAAACCGAAAAAAAAAAAGTAGCTGGCTGTTCTAGAACTGACTAATGAGACAGCAAAACAAGAGACTCCCTTTCAAGCTCCTACCCAAATGATGTAGACTTCTATTAGTTCAAAAGGCAGCAGCTAGGAGCATTCACAGTCAGACTTCATCTGCCTGGTGGTAGTGATATTAATAAGAAGCAGCAGTTAGCTGAATGCATTACAAAAAAAAAAAAACCAAAAAAAACCCAAGGGGGGGGAAATCCATTTAAAATATAAATAGCAAGATATAAACGGGCAGGCCCCGACTATCACCCTTGTGCCAGGATCAGGGCCCGCCCTGCTGGGTCTGGTGCAGAAACACGAGGGGAAAATCGGTCCCTGTGCGCCAGAGAGCCGGGTGGGGGGTGTAGCCGGGCAAGCGGTCCCTTGAGCCCGTGCGGACACTGGGTAGACAGAGAGAGAGAGAGAGAGAGAGAGAGAGAGAGAGAGAGAAGCGGCTCTTCTCTCACTCACCGGTTGCATTACAAGTGGGTTAACAACGCGCTGGCAGCCCTGGTGCTGCGATGCCGGGCCGGGCCGGGGGCTCTGCGCCTCGCTCGCGCGCGCACGGGGGATAGAGAGAGAGAGAGAGAGAGAGAGAGAGAGAGAGAGAGAGAGAGAGAGAGAGAAGCGGCTCTTCTCTCACTCACCGGTTGCATTACAAGTGGGTTAACAACGCGCTGGCAGCCCTGGTGCTGCGATGCCGGGCCGGGCCGGGGGCTCTGCGCGCAGGAGGGAGCCGGGCGCCTCGCCCTCGGCGTGGGAGGGAGAATTATAGCGCGGGGCCCGGCAGCTCCTGCTTCTCGATCCCAATCCCGCAGGGGCTTGGGCCGGCCACGGCCCCCGGCTGCCCTGGGCTCGCTCCGGGCAGCCCCCGCGCT